GGATCCCTGAGAAGTAAGTATATCACCGCTGGAAGAAAAGGTGGCATTCCTACTAGTGCCGGAGACACACGGGCTCCCTGAGAAGTAAGTATATCACCGCTGGAAGAAAAGGTGGCATTCCTACTAGTGCCGGAGACACACGGGCTCCCTGAGAAGTAAGTATATCACCGCTGGAAGAAAAGGTGGCATTCCTACTAGTGCCGGAGACACACGGGCTCCCTGAGAAGTAAGTACCATGTTTCCCCGAAAATAAGACAGTCTTTTTATTTTTTTCATGAAAAAAGACACACGGTCTTATTTTCGGGGGATGTCTTAAGCGCCGTTCACATTGAGCGATTTATCGCGCAGTAATTCCCGCGATATCGCAGCAATTTACCGAGCGATAGCGCTCTCCAATGCTTCTCAATGGGGCAAAGGGTCAATGCAAGCATTTGCGCGATATCGCTTAAAATGCAAATTGCGCGACAAACGCGCAATTTGCGAACCGCTCAATGTGAACGGGGCCTTACCTGGCTGCACGAGCTCTCCGCTCCGATGCAAACAGGTGGGCGGGCGTGTGTGTGGGCGTGCGGGGAGGGAGCTGCGGCCGCTCTTAACATGTAAAAATCAATTACATGTGCAGCTACCCCGGAAGTAAGACCTAGCGCTATCTTCAGGGATTTCTGTAATATAAGACCTACCACCGAACTAGGTCTTATTTTCCGGGTCGGTCTTATATTACAGAAACCCCTGAAGATAGCGCTAGGTCTTTCGGGGAAACACGGTATATCACCTCTTCTGTTGCGGAGCGCCTTCATCTTTTATTTTTTTTACAAGGGTCACTTTTAAGGTTAATAGTCATCATTCCAATGATTTCGGTGAAATCTCGGGCTTATCTCTGACACACATCTACATTCCATGTATCTAATACAACATTCTCTTATCATTCAGTTTGCTGGTGTAGTGGTCGCAGTGTTGGAATGAGAGAGGAGAGAGATAAAGTATAGCTGGTATACATCACTGGGTCCTGTGTCATTGCTCTCTGGCCAGTGATGATGTACCATGGACCTCTACATCCCATAAGAGAAGAGAAAGATGGTCACATCAAAGTTCAGTACTTCATATGTGACCCAGAAGAGGTGTGTAGCTGATTAATTCATTTTCCTCTGATATGTATGAAAGACCGGCAACAGGTATCTAACACAAACACCCCCCCC